CCCCGCCGTGCCCGGGGAGATGATGCCTCGGCGGCACTGCCCTTCCCAGCCACTGTGGCGTCTGCCCCCACCCTGCCTGGGGGCTGGGGGACTCAGGCTGCAGCCGGCTTGGGGAGGGGTGGGGTGGGGTGGGATGGGTCGCTCATGAAGAAGGCTGTGAAGGGACGGGAAGGAGATGCCAGAGGAGGGCTCCACCATGAGGGGCTTGGTGGGAAGATACCTGAGCGACCTGGTCCTGGACGAGGGCTGTGGGAAAACGGGTGAGGAGGCTAGAGGTTACCAAGAGGGTGGTCTCCTCCTCACTTATCCCCAACACAAGTCAGGGGCAGATCCCAGCTGGGTGAAATGAAGGGCATGGGAGGCTTCATCCTGCCACACTGTCCTCCTGGGCCACCCGTGCTGCTCAAACACAGGGACCTCTCCTTTATCCTTAGGGAGTTTGCACAAGGCAAGGAGGCCTTGCACTCTGAGGTCACGCCCGAGACACATTCAGCAGGAACTGGCCACGCAAATGAGGTCTGCCCCATGTGGCCCCAAAAACTGAAGAACCACAAGACCAAGGACCTTCCTCCCACCTGATCTCGTGAGTCTGGGCTGTCTACTGCCCAGTGTAAGGAGAGGAGCCTTAGGCTGATACTCTGGCAAGCAACCTGGGGAAGCTGGACTGGGGCAAAGGCTTGGCCCATTTCTGTTGCCTCTGTTGTGTCTACAGGTGCTGCGGGTAAAAGCCCGGCGAATGTGAGCACTGCCTCTGGTGACCAAGGCCACCCACTGATGACTGACGTGGTAGGGGGCTGGCCCTGGAGGCCCAGGTTGGTGAGTGGGGACCCAGACAGATCCAGCCTCAATATGTCCAAGGCAGAGTGGATAACACAGCAAGGCAGGGAGACAATTATCTGGGCTTATATCTGCCTGGCAACCCAGGCCAGCCAGCTGGCTGGTAGTGCTAGGCTTTGGGGCCTGCAAACCAGGAAGAATTCCCAAACTTCCTTTCTGAGCTCTTGTCCCTAAACCTCTCGGTAACCTTCCACTAGAACAACAGCACCTGAGCTGCAGGGGAGCCCAGGGAAAATCCAAGGGGCAGTGGTCCTGGGAGACAGTGTAGATGGCTGCAGGAGAGCTGGGCCCAGGAGGGCACTTCTCAGAGTGGGGAGCTGAAGACAGGTCAGGATGCAGGCCCCTTCCAGCCTGGGGTTGTCCCAGGACAAAACCCTATCCGTCTATTTCCCTCGAGTTGGAGACTGGAGCCAGGAGCTCCTGGTGGGGAGGTGGTAATGGTGATGATGCTTGTCGGGCTGGTCTTCTCTACCCTTCTGCCCCCTCTGCCTGACTCCTCTACCAGCCCCAGCTCTCTGGAGAGCCATGTCTAGCTTTGCCCTCTCAGTCTTCCCAGCTGCTCAAACACAAAGTGCCTTTATGCAAATTAGAAAAAGGTGTCTCTTCCTCTGGCCAGTTGGATGGCCTATGCAAAATATCACCTGCACAACTTACATGGCAGCTCACCCAGCACAGGACCAGAATCATAGCAAGTGCTGAGCACATTCTGTGACGTAAGGAGCGAACGGTCCTTAGCAGTTGTGAGAGCCACCCCTTCGGGGGTGTTATGTGGCAATAAAAGCCACACTGAGTGCTTCCAACATGATTTTGTTGAGTGAGAGGGGAGGACAGAGAAGCTACCCGGGGCTAGGAAGTGGAGAAAAACATTTCTGAGACCCTTCTCTACTTCTCTGCTTAATGACCTCATTAGTAACTGCCAAAGAGTGAACACTTTGAAGGATCTCGCTCATTATAGCAGCTCCAAACTCTGCATTTAAAGATGGTAAATTAATTTTTTTAATGTACTACTTTTCTCCTTTCCTTCCCTCATCCCTCCCCCCTGCTCTGGCAGGGAATTGTTTATGGGATGTGGCAGATTGTTACAAATGGGGGAGAGGAACATTTCCAAATTCCATGAGGGAAACAGCTCACAGATGCTGGTGGGGGTGGGGAAGAAACAGGTTTGTCAAAATCCAGAGATCCAGATGGGCTTGCGGGCAGGGAGGAGGGGGGAAATGAAACCACCCAGATGTGCTGGGGACTGTATCTCCCAGCCCATGAGCCAGAGTGGGGAGGAGCCCAAGAACCTGAGCTTGGTGGGGTCTCTCCCACCTCTGGCTTGCCGAGCCTCTCCCTGCCTCCCTTGCCAGCCTGGAGTCTTCATCCTTCAACAACAGTCCAGATCCTCTGGCCCTGCCCCTTTACTCTGGGATTCTCTGGCTTCTCTTAGCAGTGAGGGGAGAAGTGTGGAGCAACGTGGTAGGGGGCCGGCCCTGGCGGCCCAGGGAGGTGAGTGGGGATCCAGACGGATCCCAGCCTCTGGGATCAGATCAGAGACAATTCCAAGGTCAAAGTCAGGAAAGTCTCTATTTCTTGCTAGCACAGTGACCTTGCACTCTGCTGCTGGTGGAACTCTCATATTCTATGGATGTCTGGGCCTCACTCCAGACACTGAAATCAAAATCTCTGGGCTTCTGTGATTTCACAAAGACACACAAATGATTCTGGTGAGCAGAGTAGAGGGCATACTTTGCCCCTTAGCTGACCTCCTCTGTCCTAGTTGGGCCAAACTCCTTACCACCCCTTGTCCTTGCCAGGAAGGGGCCCCCTGCCTCTGGGCCTCCAGGACAGCCTCCTCTACAGGACTATGTTCCTCATTCGCCCTCACCTCTCTAATTCCTATCCATCTGTTAAAGTTGATCTGGGCCTCCTCCTCAGGAAGCTCCTGATGATGCTCTGTTCTGCCTTACTGTCTCATTATGCTGTCAATGTATATTGTGTTCCTGACTGGCTTTGACCTCCCAGGGGATAGGCCCATGTCCTGTTCTCCTTCTGGAGCACCCCCCCCCCCGCTTCATCTGCCACAGACCGTACTTACAGTATGGTACTAGTAAGTAAGTAAGTACTTACTAGTACTTACAGGGACTCTGTGCTGTAACCATCTGCCCTCCAGGAAGGAGGACAGCCCTCTTCACATCTCTATTACATTGCCCCTTGCCAGTCTACCTTAGGGCTTTAGGCCCAGCTTCCCTACTCTAATGTCAGTCCATCCTCAAGGCCAGAGATAGGAGCTGCTGCAAGCAGCTGGGTACTCTCACCACAAGAGACATGCTAAGTTTGAGAGGAACAAAGTGCATCAGGAACAGGCCTCCTGGGTCTTGTAGGCCAGCATTTATGCAAGAAGCACTGGGGTGCTATCCATGGTTCTGACACACTTGTCCGAAGTGCCAACCACAGTTTTGTACAGATCCAGGGACCAAACTAGTATGTACTAGTCAAAATGTCAAATCTATATGCCTCTGCCTCATCCATACAAGAGATTTTTTTCCTACTTAACACTAAGTATGACTATTCTTTTAGTGTCTCTCTCCACTCATTTCCTATGGGCCAAATTCACTCTCAATTAACTTGCAGTTACTAGCCTCTCTATGTCAGTGTACAACCATATCTGTTCTCTTCTCTTTCCTGACGGAGCTCCAGGAATGGGCTGGTCTCTTCTCTCCAACCAGGGGCTCCCTGAAGGAGGGCAGGAGGCTGGCTCTCTCTGATCACATTTGGGGTTCTACCAAGGAACAGGCAGAGGGTAGGAGCCACATGTTCCCTGTTACAAGCAAAGGCAGGGACAGAATGGATGAGGAATGTGCTGCATGGGGAAGGAAGGGCTGCCAGATGTGCTTACCTGGGTAGGGGTGGATGCCATTAGCAAACACAGCTTCCGCGGCAGGTTGCCCATTGGCCTGTGGGGGGAGGCCGGTGAAGCCGTTCACCCCAATGGGGGATGGGATGCTAGGCACAGCTGGTGCAGTGATGCCCGGAGGGGTGCTGCCACCTGGTTCCAGAAGTGCAGAGGGGTGGAAGAGGAGGGGAGGCAAGCAGAACCAAGGTGAGGAAGGCTGACCCATGGAGCTCTATCCCTTGGCTCCAAGGGCCTGGGAAAAGACCTCCCAAGTCAGTCCTATCTGTGAATCATGCCTGGGGTTATCTCCCTTCATGGTGACACCATTCATCCCAACTGTATCCATCCTTCAAGGCAGAGTCCAACTCTGGCCCACCCCAAGAAGGCTTCCCTGACCAGTGACTGCAGCATGGCCTTGGACCTGCAGCACATAAACTATTCTCAGTGTCCTTGACTTTGACTACATTTAATCTTCCTTTCATCTTTTTTAGTGGATGTTGCTCACCCCAGCTAAGTCAGGATGGGCTGGTCCTTGTTTAGCCACTACAGGGCTACTAAGTTGCTGGCTCTGCTCTCTTGTCTGCATCACTGAGGGGCTGATCTGGTTCCCCATGAAGGAGTTTTGCTACTCAGGTGGGAGGAGGTCTTAATTCTGATGTTCCCTTGCATATAAGGAGAGAGCCCTTTGCAGAGTCCAGATTCAGCCCTATTCATACACCAAATAGACACTGAGGCCTCCTCCAGTGGAGGCAATGGTGATGCCCATTGTGACAAGGATAAAGTCAGGGTCAGATGACAATACCCTGTGCCTTCTCTATGCCAGGTGGGTGGAGCCCAAGGTGTGGATGGCATACTGATGATTATACTGGAAAGGGCCTTCCTCTTCCTATAGGAATCAGGGAATCTCTACAGCTCCTGGATGTCAGGAAGGCTGCCAGTATGGTGCAGGGAGCTGAGGAAGCTGGATGAATGAGAACCTGGGGTGTTGCGCCAGGCCTTGGGACTAGAGAAGGGTTTCTTAATTTTGTCACTACTGACATTTGAGGACAGACATTTCCTTATTGTGACGGGCTCTCCTGGGCATCATAGGATGTTTAGCAACAACCCTGGCCTCTATCTACTAGACTACAGTAGCACTCCCCCTACCAGTTGTGACAACCAAAAATGTCTCAGGACATTGCCAGATGTCCTGGGTGGGTGGGAGGACAAAACTGGCCCAGGATGAGAATCACTTAACTGAACAATAGCCAAGATCTAATTAAGAACATCCTGGGGAGCTTGGGTGGCTCAGTCAGTTAAGCATCCAACTTCCACTCAGGTCATGATCTCACGGCTCATGAGTTCGATCCTCACGTTGGGCTCTGTACTGACAGCTCAGAGCCTAGAGCCCGCTTCAGATTCTGTCTCTATTTCTCTCCACCCCTCTCCTCCTTGTGTGCACTCTCTCTCTCTCTCAAATATAAATATTAAAAAAAAAAAAGAACGTGCTTTATGAATGGGGTTATTTCCAAACCCGCTGTCCTTTAATAATTCTTGAGGTTCTCTCTTGCTTATCTCTCTTGCTTATCTCTCTTGCACTTGTCTTGGGAAAAGCCAATGAATCTAAGTTGGATTAAAGAAAAGTGAAAAAACTGGGGCTCCTTCCCTGGTTAGGCCAGGAACCTAATAAGGCCACAGAATGGGCAAGATTTTTTTCCCCTCAGACCTCAAAGTGGGGAGGTGTTTTCATGTGAATTTCTTTCTAGAGATCTAGAAAAGAGATCAAGATGAATTGCTTCCTGATATGGCTCAATAACTTGAGTGAAACTTTCACCACCCTGAAATCATATCATTGACTGCATGGGGCCCACATCCCATCTTCCCTTAGGTCTCCAGGGATTCGAACATTTAAAACAATTTTTTTTAATGTTTTTATTTATTTTTGAGAGAGAGAGAGAGAGAGAGAGAGAGAATGTGAATGGGGGAGGGGCAGAGAAAGAGGGAGACAGAATCTGAAGCAGGCTCAAGGCTCTGAGCTGACAGCACAGAGCCCGACGTGGGGCTCAAATTCGTGAACCTTCAGATCATGAGCCGAGATGAAGTCAGACGCTTAACCTACTGACCCACCCAGGCGCTCCGGGATTAGAACACTTACAAACTTCCAGAGGATGAAGCCTGCTTGGGTCCATATACATCATGTGCTCTGGCCATGGGAAGGTCCACCAGTAGATGAAATTGGCCAAATAATAGGTCCCACCTGCTGCTTTCCTGCCACACCAGGTCCAGTGTTGGTACCTGGCCACTCACCTGAGGTTGGGGTCATGGGTGCGGCCGCCAGGCCATTCATGTTGAGGGCCGCCATCTGCTGCATCTGGGCGGCGGCGAAGGCAGCCATGGGGTTCAGGTAGCCGCCCTGTGCGACTGACGCCATTAGTGCCGCTTGCTGCTGCATCAGCTGGGGCAGAGGAAGTGGAAAAAATATCATGCGCTTCCAGGGGGGCAGCCCTCCCCACCAGGGGGCTCAGCTCCTGGAGACCAGCCTCCCAGGCCCTGAAACCCAGGGAGTTCAGATATATCCCCCCACCCCCACCCTCTGAGAGAACTGTATTCATAAGTAATGATAGGGTCTTAGGGACTCTAAAGTTGTAGAGGGGGAGGAGGAGGGGACTGGCTCCATGGGTGCTGGTCAGCCCTAAGAAAGGTCTGTCATCCATGGAGATGTGACAGCCAGAGCTCCAGAGACATGTTAGGTGAGCCTCTGTAGAGTTAACTTGGCATGGATTTGTTTAAGGTGGTCCTAACTTGGAGTCTGTTGGGTAGAAGCAACAGGAGAATCATGAATAGAACTCCGGGCACCCCCAGTGTCCTCACAAAGGTGAGCGGGGACTGGGTAGGTTGCTGACATGGCCAAGTTTGGACACTGCTGAAGAAGTGAAGTGAGCTTATATCTTTAGAACCGGAACGCCGGCCGACCTCAGGGCCACCCCTGTGGGGGCTGTGGTTACAAGTCTGGGGTCAGCTCCCGGGAGACGGGGACAGAGCTGGCTCCAGTGTGGAGGGAAGAAGTGGATGGCCAGCAGCATCTGGCAGGGTCTGAAGGGACCGCAGGGCAAGTGTGGATGCAGAGGGCCTTGGGGCACCTCAAAGGAGCCCTGCCGGGAATGACCGCCTCCCATGAGTGAGGGCAGAGGTAGAGTGGTGACAACCAAGCACGGGCACCTCTCTCACCACTTCCAGGTGGTGCTTCCTAGACTCTGACTAGTGGAAGAGCGCTGAGAGCACCCCACCTTGCTGCCCAGCCTAGAGGCCTCTCCAGCTCCTTCTCTATAGAACCAGAATAGCCGCCCACCTCCTCCTGGAAGCCACCCTGCACTGGCCTAGACTTCTCTTAGCCCCCTCTGGTCTCTACTCCCTGGGTTCACTCCTCATCACTCCTCATGCTCCAGGACAGCAGGATATCCTGGGCCAGGAGCAGGGCTCCCCTCAGCACACTTAGGCGTCCTTGCTCTCCCAGGCTCTGAGCAAAGTGAGCTAGAGAACAGCTGCGCGCACGGCCCCGCCCCTCACTCGGCTGCGCCCCCACTTACTGCCTGTGCGTAAGCGCCGTAGGCCCCAAACGGGATGGCCATGGGGTTGAACATGCCCATCTGGCCGGCCATCTGCTGCATTCGCCGCATCGTGCGCTCCTTGTCGGTGTCGGCAAACTTGACCACCAGACTGGATGAGGCTCCCTGCAGCCAGGACTGCGCGTGAGGCCCACTTGCCCCAGCTGCCTCCTCTCCCAGCTGTCCTTGCCCTGGCGGGACCCACCCGATCCTCTGGGGGAGGGCCCTGGGGGGGGGGGGGGGGGGGGGGCGCGGCACGTTCCAGCGCCTGCACTCGCCCAGCTGTCTGGGATCTTAACCCCACGGCAGGCGTTTTTTAATCTAGAGGCAGTCCAGTTCCTTACGTCTCTGGGCCTCAGTGTCCTTGTCTGAGAAATGGGGATAATGATAATGCCTTCCTGCCTCTTGAGGAGGCTGTGAGCGCCCCACATTTGGCAAAGTGTGCACGGAGCTCAAGGGCAGGCGGGGCCCTGCGGAGCTCTCGGTCCCTCTGGGGCCACCGCGGGGTCCTCACTTCATCCGGGAGCGCCCCACTCACCGGCATAGTCTGGCTGCCGTGCAGAGCGTTGATTGCGGCTTGTGCCTCGGCATGGGAGGAGTACTTCACAAAGGCGCACCCTGGGGGGACGGGAGAGGCTGAGCCAAGGCGCGAGGGCCGAACCGAGGAAGGCCTTAGAAGCGCGAGGGCTGAGAGGTGAGTCACCCGAGGGGCCGAGGGGAGAGGGCGCATCCCGGATGAAAGCAGAATGGGTGAGACACAGAGACTGAGAGAGAAAGAGAGACACGGAGAAACACAAAGACAGAACCACACAGAGACAGAGAAAGACCTGGACGGGGACGGAGACTTAAAAGCATCCTTATTTTAAGTCTCCCTGCCCCTCTCTGGACTTGGATGGCGGCCTTCCCTTATCCTCAGGCCGGACCGCCTTGCCCCTTCCAAGCATCCTTCCCCGGCTCGCAGGTCACAGGTCGGGGCCAGCTGGAGGCCCAGGACTGGCCGGGGTGGGGGGGCTGCTGTGGGGCCCAAGGCCTCGCCCGCCCGCTCCCCCGCCCCGCCCCCACGCACCCTTGCTGTTGCCATCCGGCCCGCGCAGGATGGTACACTCCTCGATGTTCCCGAAGGCTTCGAAGAGGCGGCGCACGTCGTCCTCGGACTGCTGCTTGTTGAGCATGCCCACGAAGAGTTTTCTATCTTCTGGAACAAAATTAGGAGATGCTTACCTGGGCCAGAGGAGCCGGGCTGCACGCGGGCGGGCCCGGGCGGCCGGAGGGGGGGTGGGGGGGTGGAGGTGGGGGGGTGGTGGTAAGAGGGTACAACCGGAGGGTAAGAGGAGGAGGGGGAGGAGCTGGGCAGGCAAGAGGGCTCTTAGCTGGAGGGGGAGGGCTTGGACGCAGCTAGAGCAGGAGGGCCACAGGGTGAGGGGGTTGGGAGAGAGGGAGAGCATAGCCAGAGGTGGAGGTGAGGGAGGAAGGGTTGGGTCAAGGGGGCTGGATTGCAGCGACTGTGCCCCCTCCCGCCCAGAGGGCACGCAGCACACAGAGGGAGTGAGGCCATTGGTCTGGCTGCCCACCTATATGGCACACGGATGGCACAGAGGTGGCACAAGGGGCATCTGGGCAACCCTGCATTCCCTTTCTCCTTCCTCTTAGCTACATACTATCTTCTTCAGCCACTTTCACCCCCAGATGCCAAAATTAACTCACAACAGGCAAGTCCACCACAGGGCTTTTGCATCTGTCCTTCCCTCTGTCTGAAGTGCCTCCCAATCACAAGGCTGAATTCTTCTCGCCTTCTAGGTCTCAGTTTAAATAGTGCTTCTTCATCAAGACCCCTCCTTCCTGCTCTCCTTTATACTCTGTCTCAGATTCTGTCTCTCAAGGCCCAGATTCCAAAGGACCATTGTTTACCGCTTTGCTTTGGTTTCTGTCCAGCTCCCTGCCCCCACCCCATGGATGCTCCCTGGGGGAAGAGAGCAGGCCTTGCCTGGAGTGCCAGTTAGTCAGCCCTCAGGACAGAGTTACGGAGTGGACAAACGAATGCCCTATGTCATTCCCAGGGTCACACCTTCTTTTTATCCCACATTGTTTGTACCTCCATCTGGTGTCCCTTCCTTGGTCTGGCCCTTCCTAGTTCATGCTGCAAAAATGTAGCCCTGGACACTTTTGTGGGGCCTGTTCCTGAAGGCTGGGCTCCGGCACCAGTCTCCCCCCGCCCAGGGGGTTTAGAACCACTCGGTTTCTTGACACCACTTGGCTGTGTGCTTAGGGTAGCAGGGATCACACTGGACTGTGCGGCTCTGTAGCAGCCGCGACTGCCGAAGGATCTCCCGTCCCACAAGCTTATTGCGATGTGACGATGTGACGTGAAGTCCTCCCACTGAGGTGGGGCCTGTGCTCCCTCCCTTCGAATCAGGGTGGGGCTGTGACTGCTCTAACCAATAAAAAATGGCACAAAGGATGCCTGCTGACTTCCAAGTTAAGTCATAAAAGGGAGGCGCTCCTACTTGGCTCTGTCTTTGGGAATGCTTTCTCTGTGAGAAGCCAGCCACCCTGCTGTGAAGAACTCACGACTCAAAACTAGCTCACAGGAAAGTCCCCATGAGAAGGAACCCATGTCCCCAGCTGACGGCCAACATCGACCACCAGACATGGGAAGAATGAATCTGCAGTTGATTCCGGCCCCCAGCCTTTGAATCTAACAGCTGAGGACCAGGCGTCTTGGAGCAGAGATAGGCCTTTCATGCTGTGCCCTGTCTGAATGCCTAACCCCCAGGATCCATGAGTGTAACAAATGGTTATTTTACACCACTCAGTCTGGGGCTAAATTGTTATGCAGCCATAGGAGCTGGAACAGAATCCCTGTGGAAGCAGCACTCAGCAGGCACTCACTAGATGTTTGTTGATTCTCGAATGACTGACAAACACAGGCACACACAGCCTATGTGCAGAAACGTACACCCCCAAATTGCAAATGGCCCTGAGTTCTGGTTCCTGCGAATGTGAGAGCATTCTGAGTCTATGTCTCTCTGTACTCAGAGTACTTGCTACCTTCTGCCCCAGAGAACCTCCCCATGCCCAGACTGCCTGGTGAATTCACATAGACCTGAAGAGGTGTCTTGGGGTCTGGAGCAAAGCAGAGGAAACCACCTGGTCCCTGCACTGCTTCACAAGCCACCCCAGAGTCCTCCTCTTCAGGAAGCCCTGACCTCTGCCCTGTCAGTACCTCTTAGCCCAGAGCACTTAGCACTGGGCACGTCCTCAGTGATGAGGTAGTCTTGGGTCCCAGCTTCTTCCATGCCCTACAGGGCATCATTGCCAGTTGTTGTTACTGCTTCTGGACCAGGGCACCCCAGTCTAGCCCTTCACCATTAGTAGGCTTCAGTCAAAGCTCTGGGGCCTGGAGCCCCTGCCTAGCCACCTGCCCCTGCCCGGGCAAGCAGGTGGCTTCTTGGGCCATCTCAAGGCCAGGCACACCCCGGCCCCATCTTCAGGGCTCACAGACTCCAAATTCTGGGCCAGGAAACCAAGAAGAAGAGAGAGAGAGAAAGTGGAGGGGTGAAGCTGGGGAAGGATGGGGGGAGATGAGGTTAGGAGCGGAGGGAGAAGGAAAATGGCAGAAATGGAGGGAAAAGAATCAGAAACAAAGAGCATCGAGCAAAGATGGCAGAGGAGAGGGCAGAGACAGAGGGGAGAGGGGCAGTGGCTTATGTTTAACTCCCAGAAGCAGCAGCAACATTTTCCATGAAGTGGAGGAAGCTTCTCAAGCCTTCAGTGGAGTTGTGAGTCATTACAACTCTGCACGCCCGTCCTCCACCCAGCCCCAGCGCCTTTTAAGGACTCCAATTAAATGGGATTTCCGGAAAGACAATGAAGTGAAACCCCCTGCCTCCTGCTAATCCCTGGCCCTCAGGTTTAGAAATTCTCCTCCCTGGGAAGGAAAAAGGAAGGGAAGAGGGGGGCCCCTCCTCTGTCTGAGCCTGATTTAAATGCTGGGACCGAAACCCCGCGACTTCTCCTCTCTCCTGACATCTGAATATATTCCTTTATTATCATTATGACAGCCTTCTGATTGCATTAAAATTCATCCACACGTGCCTTTCTATTCAGGCACTTCCCTTTTGCCAGTTTTTCCCCCTCATTTTTTTCTTCCTCTCCCCTGAAATTTTGTCTTCCTTACAGTTCTCCGTTCTCAGTTCTAGACCAGGGCCTTTCCTTCCGGAGGACTTTCCAAACTTGTAGGGGGCCAGGCTTCTCCTCTTCCTACTCGGAGACCTGGACGCCCAGATTTCCCCAGGGAGACTGCAGCTAGCGTTGCCTTTCTAGAAGACTGCAAGAAACCCAAGAACCCAGTCCCATTGCCACTCCCCTAGGTGTTCTCGGGTGAGTCCACAACCCTCAGATGTTGGTTGGTTCCGGGACCCTCAAAGGCACCCAGTTTGCACACTCTTCGTTTCCACCTGGCTTTGGTGTGCTTCTAAGGATTCTCTTTCAGACCAGAGGCTGGAAGGACTCTTGAGTCCAATGGTGGATCTCCTTGTGGCCCAGGCCCACTGGCTTAACCCCAGCACTGCTGCCTTGCCACTGTATAACTTCTCCCCACCTGGGCTTTAGGTCTACAGAACAGCAATAATCAGTCCTTCCTCATGTGATGGATGCTAGGCTTCCAAGAGATGCTACAGGAGCAGAACCTGGCCACCACCAGGAACAACAGGGAGGGCCATTACTCCAGGAGGAAGAGGAAATGGAGGGCCACCCCTCCCTTCATTTGCCCTGCCCTAATTTGGCCAGGAGGGCCACCCCTGTGTGTGTCCTAGATGGGGAGAGGTCATCTCTGGGGGGACCAGACTTATGCTATGGCTGACCAGCCAGCATGGACAACCTCCCCCTGTCACCCCGCCCTCTGTGACCTCCTCTCCCTCTGGCTACTTTCCTGAGGCACTGTCTCCAAGTTGTGTCAGATGACCAATGGCACCATTTGGCTGGTGTCTTGGGTCTATGCCAACCTAGTGAAAGTCTCAGAGGATGACTCAGTTTCCCCAGCCAGCCACCCTCTCCAAAATCGACACAAGACCCCTGACTCCTGGACAGGCTAAGCAGTCCCTGACCACAGCCTGCCTATCTGACATGATACAGGGTCCCTGGGTAATGGTGAGTCTGTGGTGTTCTCACTCTCCCCTGTAAGCCCGCAGCCTTAAGCCCACGGCAGGACCTTAGGGGGCGGGGGGGTGTTGTTGTGTCTCTGAGGAGGTGAGGCCAGGAGAGACCACAGAGCCAGGGGTGGAGATGGGCTGAAGACACCCCTGGGTGGGAAGTCATAGGGCCCAAACATGTGAGCAAGTGGAGGCTAGTGACTGGACCCCAGTACCTTCCCCTCAAGAGAGCCCAGCTTAAGGTAGGGGACTATAATATGTTCCTATTCTGGCTCCCAGGGCTGAGCCCAGTGCCAGACCACCCCCACCCTCGAGTCTTCACATGGGCTCCTCCTGTCAAGGGACAGAACAAGGGGAGCGTGCTCCTTAGTCATTCAATTGTTTGCTGAGCCCTTTTCTCTGCACCAGACACTGCTCCAGGCACCACGCCTGCAACAGTAGGCTCACTGGAGCTGACGTCCATCCGCTGATGGCGACACAGGCCATCTGCAATAGACAGTTCCCAAACAAGACAAAAGCCACTGGGGCTGCCACGCAGTGGCCCCCAGAGCTCGTGTGCCCTCCCCGCAGGGCTCCAAGACACACAGTTGTAGCCTCTCCGGGTCTCTTGACTTCCCAATCCTATAACCCCTTGCTCCTGCCTCCCTGCTCTTTTAAAAAGTGAGTGCTTGTGTCTGCGGGTGTGGGGAGCACCTGGGGTCCTGGGGAGCAGGAGTGTGACACCCCAGAAGGGCTGGGCGGTGGAAGGTAGGCGCTACTCTCAGCTCTGCCTGAAGCAGAAGGCAACCCTGCTTTCTGTGCCCAGTGTCCCAACGACCACTGCCAGGGAGTAGGCATAGTCTACAGCACCCCCAAATAATGCATGGGGAGAAGTACCCAGTTCTATGTCAAATGAAGGTGTTTACAGCCACCTCAGAAGGGCCTGGATCAGTGCACCTGACCTACCGCCTAGGCTCACCCTCTGGTGACTCCTTCCGTGAGCATTTATTGAGCATTTACTATGAGAGAGGAGAGCCAGGAAACAGCTCTGGACTGTGCACCAGAG